TCAGTCTCTCAGTTTCAAAAAAATCGAGTATGTTTTAGGAAATAGGTAATTCAATTTTTGCACACAGATGGATGTCACATTTTGATTTCTTTTTCCCTACCATATTTAAATATGTCTTCTTTGCTTTGAACCACATGTGAAGACTTCCTATCTTTAAATCTAAATAAATTAAAAAAAAACCCAAATCTATCTCCAGCCCAGTTCAACAACAGTGAATTAGGAGTGGAGCAGGGGGTAGAAACAGGCCATTTTAAAACAAGGAATTAGACTACATTGATTTTACTATTATTGCCCTGGAATATTTTTAACAGGTACCAGTGGCTTATAAAAAAGAAAGTCTATGCTGCACATATAATCACAAACAAAAGTAAATAAGCAGGCTTAGGTGATCTGTTTTAATGCACAAAGATATTTTTAATATATTGTAATGAGAGCCATAAAATGTTTTATCCAGGTTAATTTTCCTCTCATTTACTGTGTGCTGTCGGATAAAACTTCATGGGTATTCAGGCTCCTCTAGATCCTGGTTATCATAAATAAAGGAAAGTTTGGCCCTTAAATAAGTTATATTTTCAGGTTAGCAATCACTCTGTTTTGCTTTCCCTCTTCTCATAAATCAATTATTGAGGTCTATTTAATTAAGAACAGATTAGAAACATTTTCATTGTTGTTTTTTAAATTTCCTTTGTACTGTAGTGCTACGGAGTTAAAACACCAAGCACAAAAGTGCACAGCCAACCATGACTAACTGCATAAAGCAAATAACAAGCTGTATGATCAAAAACGAAAGCCAGTGCCGTTCATGTGGAATAATAGAAATCATACCACCAAAACACTTCATACACGTCTCATCTACCACCGTACACACTTGCTCAGCTCATATCACGCCTCAGGAATGCGGCTGCAAACAGAAAGGGACCTGCACGAGAGGTAAATACCCAGAGGGGAAGCCGCGTTTCCCTGTGCCTCATCCTGACGGTACCTCACCCCTTCAGCTTGAGATTCGTCAGCTGTGGGGAGGGAAAGGCAGAGCAAGCTATTACTCAGGACATGCTTCTTTCCTTCCAGCTCTTCTGGAGATGTCCTCAGGGAGCTACGCCAAATATATGTGCCGAACGCTATTGCTCAGCGTGGATAACTTTCCATGTTTGAGCTGGAAGGCTGGTGAAGGACAGTCACTATCCATTCCCACCGGTCACAGAACGATATCCCTCCAAAGCAGACATAGTCCCTGTCTTCACCATCATTAAAAATAACCTTCTACCCTCTGCTGACTTTTTTCAGGGGTTGCAAAGGTCATTCTTATTTCAGCAAAGGCAATCTTACCTGCTTATGGTGTGCAACTAACAGTGGGGAAATGCTGGATATTTCTGGGAAAGGATAAGGAGATTTTACCAAGCCTTTTTTTTGTTTTTTTACATAGTGTTTTGAAACAGGCAAACGGAAAACCAACCCTCTGCCTATGAACTGGAAAACAAATCCAGCTTAAATTTTTTGCTCAACTCTCGCTGCAGGAAATGGGAAACCTTCTGCTGTTTCGTGGGGAATTGGAGCAGGCCAGAGAGACGAGAACAACAAGAAGCAGCCACCCGCCAATAAAACGCATGTAGTAAAGTACTGTCAGAGAGATCAAGGGCTTTGCGTGCACTTCAGGAAGGATTCTATTTCACTGTCACTTCAGGCCAAGGGGGAAGAGGTTCCATATTCCTGCAGTCATTCATCCTGACTACTTCCCTACTGATTTTTAAAATCTGTTGTGGCTCAGCCCTTTCCTCATGCTTCAGAGGGAGGAGATGGCAGAGGGAATAAGAGCTCCCGAGGTTCCTCTCGTTATCCAAAGACCCTTTAAAAATGCTGCTGATGAGCGCTAAATCTTTTAAATCCTTTGACTATGACATCGATCAGGGGAAATTATATGCCAGCATAATTCTCTCTTGAATTCAGTAGGGACTCTAGCTGAGGGGTAAATTCAGCTCCACTGTAAATGGAAGGTGAATGCTGGGGTGGCTGGGGAGAGAAATCTGCACCCTCTTCTCCAGCTCTATGGCCCCGAAGCTGCTGCATTTTGCATTTCTTGGAAGCAGCACGTCTGTCCCTTTGGAAATCAGTGCTACATGCGAGAACAGAAACTTCCAGAGTTGTTGACAGGCCAGCGTGCAACTGGAGATGGTAACGCAGATACAAAATTAACCATGCAAATTCTTATCTTTTGAGTCATATCAGATACCCCCATTCACTCAGTGATAAGCCTTTTCCTGTGCAAGTTCTTAGTTCACTGACCCCCAGAAGGTGTTGAGAAGATTTTCTGAGAGGGTACCTGAGGGTCCTATTTTCTCCTTAGCATAATTCCTCCCAATTAATGAGTGTATAGGTCCAGAAACGATGACAATTTGGGTTCTGAGTCCTTAAAGATTTGAACACAATGTTCACCACAGTGCCCTCAGCAGTCTGCTAGATACGCAGACAGCCTATCCTAAACCTTGTTCCTTATTCCTGCCTTATTCCTAAGCACCAGTTTGCACCTCAGATCCACATTTGTAAAATACGCCATTTGCTCATTTTTGAAAGTGCTCTAAGATCCAGGATGAAAAATGTGGGATGTGTGCTAAACAGGGAACTAAACTATTCTTGGTGCTTGGCAAACACAGGTTTGACAAAGTTTCTACCTCAAAGAAGGCAAAACCTAAAAAGTAATAATAAAAAATATTAACTGCTGTCAGAAAAGTAAACTCAACCCTTTTAGAACTAATAATAACATTCGAACATATTGATACTCTTAGAGTGTCTATCATTAGCTAATTATTAAAACTAAATATAAAGTTTGCTCTGTTCCGTGTGCCCCTATTTACAAAATCTTATCTAATTTTAGGAAGCAAAAGCAGAAAAAAAAAGTTACTGAAGGAAAATAAAATGGTTTTCAGATCACTGGACTTAAGCCCTTCCCAGCAGCTTTCAGATGTTGCCAGCTCAGGAATGAAGAGGAACAGCTCTGAACTGACAAGACTGAAGACTGGAGACAAGTCCATTGGCTGCTGCAACATCTCTCGTGCAAGTAGTTTCCATGGGCTCTTGGGAGGTTGCTTATGGTAATGCCAAACTACATTTAAAGTGCGTTTCTGTATGTGTGTGTGTCAATACTGCAGGATTTTCTTTGAGAAGCTTCTCATGCATGATATGCAGGTGGACAGACTGAAACCTCTTCATTGAGACAGGAGCTCTGGCGTGTCTTAGTGGCACCAAAATAACATCACAGTTCAGGTGCGGTATCTTGACGAGCTCCATACTGAGGTCTCTGTGATCCCATCCATACCTGTAGGGAGCAGGAACTCTTTCTTCAGATTTATGCCAGGAAAAGCTCTGTCTTAGCCTTCATTGGAGCCTCTTTGGTGAGACTTTTAACCTGTGGCTTGGGAGGTGCTTTAAAACTGCCATCTGTGTGCACTTTATCTCAGGCTGCACAGAACTTTCTGAGTTGTGTTTACAACAATTATTAGTCAACCTGGCATTTGGAAAATAGTTAGAAATCCTGCTACTATATGACCCTCCTCCTCCAATCTTCTCCATGTTTCCATAGTTTTGAGGAAAAAAGAATGAGTCCCTCAACTCAGTTACTTGCCTTGTTTTTTGTCAAAGTCAGAATCAAGCGTGCTTTTAACCAGGAAGAGGACCTGAGATGATAGCAGTTTCATAGAGATTGTTCTTTACTGTTGTCTTGACTGGGGGGGGCTGAATGAATCTAAACAAGCTGGTTGCATGCATTTGGTTGCAACTTGCTCATTTAGAGTGAGGTGAGCGTCACTTTGCTGGTCTCCACATGCACTGGAGCAAGCGTGGCGCTCAATGCAGAGGCCACCTGCAACAAAGCAATTAATCTGAAGTTTACTGGGCACATTTTTGTGGCTGTGCCCAGAGAATGGCACCAAGTATCAAGCTGTAGCTTGAGCTTCTGAGCAAACCAGTACAAAGGGTTTCTCTGCAGTGACGAGACAGGGAACACACCACAGAAGTTCTGTTAATGCCAGGGAGACTATACTGCCAGTCTCCTTGTCACACCCTGCCCAGCAAGCTCAGCTTCTTGCCCATAGGACAGAGTTGTCAAGGAATAGGTTTGCCTCTTCCTTTTGTTCTTGTTCTCCACGGGAGGGGACAGTAATGCCATTTGTGTTCTGCATACTGACAGGTACTGCTAAAGCACAGACTGAGCGTGTTTCTGAGCTCTCTGAGCTGGCTGCGGAGGTGAAGGAGCAGTAGAATTTCTGCTCTGGTTGTCAGTTAGGTAACGTATGCCTGAGAAAGACGGTGTGCAAGAGCTAATTATTTTTGTATGCTGCTGCCTGAATAACTGCCAGGTGTCAAATGCCTCTGGAAATCTCCCAGTTCTGTGGGAACTGAAAAGTTCAGCTTGTTCCTGACTCTTTGATGGAGTCAGACCCTAGAAAACTGCAGACTTTTAGCACAAAGGTTCCTCATCTGCTGTGGGGAGAGTGAATCATACTCATGAGAAACATGAAGTAGAAAAAAGGACTCCAATTTTTTAGTGACCCACCGATTCTGTAAGAGCATGATGCATGCTACCGTGAAAGCCTGTCCCAGAGGTGAATCAATGCCACCGTACCTTGCACCATTTCCTTACATTGCTGTTTGTCTGCTTTCCTGCATGAGTCACTTGGGTTGTGATCCCTGGTTTACATGCTTCTAAAATCTCGTGCAATGTTGTTGTGACTGTTATGCAGTTGGTAGAAGCTTAATGTGTTTATTGCATTAGGTTTACATAAAATAAAATATCTATATTTTGGATAAATAAATGACAGAAATGCCAGGATGGCTGCTCTAACACAGTAAGTTTGTAGAAGGTGGTAGCATGGGAAAAGGTAGGTTGAACCCTGGCTTTGGCGTGGTAGACAATTATTCATTAGTTTCTAATTGTTTGGGGTTTTTTTAACTTCATTCTCTTAGTTGTCTACCTGTGAATGATAAAGAAAGAGACGACACTGTCATTGTACACATGAACTGATGTGGTTTTACTGCATTTGGCCACACACTTAAAAGAAATATGCTGGTACAGGGCAGCCACAGTCTTATCTCTGCTGCCACTCCTTTCACAAAAGAATGATCTTTACATCAACAGTTTTCCATCCTTGGCTTGATAACATTGCAGTCCTACCTTTTGCTGTTGGTCCGAATGCAGAGATTAAAAACACTCAGTTGATGCAAACGGTGGGTTGATACAACACACAGTATGGGGTGTAGATGTGCTTCACACAACAGAGAGCAGAATTGAAGGGGAAAATGTTGCTTGGAGGCAAGACGCCTCTTTAATAGATTATGGCAAGGAAAATCAAATACCATATCTGCTTTTTTTCTGGAGTATATCGAGACTGATCATAACTAACATCTGTTCATGTTAAGCAAATACTTGTCATGATTTAAACTTCTGTTTGCATACAACTCTGAGTAGTGCATCTTAAAGTCATACATATTCATATAGAATGAAGAATGCATAATGTCTGCATAAAAAGATAAGCTGTATGACTATATATGAAGACAACAACTACAATTCTCACAGCACTGTCATTGGTTAATTTTAAAATATTCAAGCATTATTTAAAAAACAGTAAGCTGAACTTAAAACTACACTACGAAAAAATTGTGTAACTGAACCAATGCTGACTTGTTTTCCTCAATATTAATCAATTTTAAAGTTTCCCTTTTTTGTCTAACACTTTTTGTTAATTAGTTTTTATTTTAACCTCCAGTAACATGATCAGACTTCTTCTGCCTCTGGGCAATTGAGTTATGCTCTGATCTTGAGTTCTAAGGGAGATGTTCAATTTTATTTTTTTCCAGAGTTGAATAAACAGTACCATGTATACTATCTCTTGTGTTAGAACAGTGTTGTCTTCACATAAGACTCAAATAATGGTATTAGTCGTTCATTTCCTTGTACACATACACCCTATTGCGTGTTGACAGGTTTATAAGGATGCAGTGGCAGCCGTGGGTGCTGGGAAGCTCCTAGACGACAGCCTTTGAATCCTTGCAGTCCTGAGCAATGGTGCCTGAGTTAGTCTGTTTATTGTCTGCTTTCTCTCCCAGATGCTTGACTTGTCTGAAAGATTAATACATTAACAAGAGTGGTAAGGTCCAGGGTTGCACATCTTTAAGACATGTTTATTAGCAGATGGCACATGAGATTCAAAGGTCACTGTGGAAGGTAACATTTTAAAGTGAAACAACAATATTTATGCTTGAATACTATGCTGATGAGATCATATGGAAAAATGTTTCTGATTAAATTAGTTTATAAATAGCCACAATATATCTATTGAAAATTCCAAATGCCACTTTCAGTCTTCTTTCTTTTATTCTATTACTTCCTAATTTATTTAGTAACACAAGACTACCTTCATATGTAAACAGACCAGCAGCTAGAAAGAAAGATCTCTACTGGACAGACAATTGCACTTTCTTAAATAACTGAAAATCCAGTGTGAAACCTGGTCCTATTGTCTACTACTTAAAGCTAATATTCCATATAAGAGTTTTTTAAGACGTGAAAGAACTTTTAACTTCTAAATTCTCTAGGGTAAGATTCATCTTGCAGACCTAAGGACTTATTGGCAGATAGTGATCCTTATTTACAGGCGATACCATGTCTTACAACACATTTGACAAAAATCATGTTATGCTACTTACACAGAATCCATACAATGAAAAGAAAATCCTTTGCTTTAGGATTTCCATAGGAGGACTGACTGTCTCATAGCTCTTAGTAAACATAATCAGCAACGCTAAACCTGAAATCTTGTTTATCCTCTCAAATTGTCATAAAATGTACATAAATGCCAGATGAAATATTTTTGCACAAGTTTAAAAGGGCAACTAAGCTCTTAATTAACATTTCTTATCTACCACACCACACAGGCATTAAAAAGCAGAGAATTTAAATGGTACTTACTTTTCATGTGATCCGTTTTCAACTTTCATAGCCCCTTCCACTGGATCCAGTCCTTGTTCTGAAAACTGTTTCAAGGCACTTAACGCTGCCTAAAGAAAAAATGAGTTGTCAAAAAACCCACTGACACAACTGTATTAACACCAAATGAAGGGAGATGTGTATTTTGATATTCTGGATTTAAATAATTTCCTGTATATTGAAGCCATTTAGGCTATAGAGCTAACAGAGTGGGTACATAACAGCTCCATGATAAACAGCTGTGGCTGTGCATGGGTTTGAGGACATCTTCTTCTTCCTGGGTGTATGAGTGACTTCCATTTGTCTTAATGCAAGCTTCATCACCTACATGAAGAATACGATATACTTTTAGGATTCTTGCCTCTCTGGCCTGTAAAGTCTCTTCAGCTTCCCCATGTGTTTTCCTAGAGCCCACGCTTTCTGGAGCTCCTGTGGACAAACTCTTGCCTTGTAGATGATTGCAGAAGATGTGAGCCAACGGGAAGAGGTTCA